TGGTGAATATAACAAGGAGATAACAAAAAGAAAAATTCTTTCAGCAACGCATAAAGTCTTTGATCCAATCGGATTTACCGCTCCCGTAACCTTAATACCGAAGTTAATTTTGAGAAAATTGTGTGAGTTGAATGTCGATTGGGATGTTCAAGTTGATAACAACTCAGAAAAAGAGTTTTTATTGTGGTATGAGCAATTGACGCATTTGAGCGAGATAGAAATCCCAAGGAAACTCGGATCAGGCACGTTATCCCTGCACACTTTTGCAGACGCAAGTCAGACGGCGTACGCCACAGTTATATTTTTGCGCGTCGAGAACGAGACTCACGTAGAGCTTAGGCTACTTGCCGCGAAAGCGCGAGTCGCTCCGAAGAAAACAACGATACCGCGATTGGAGCTCTTGGCCGCATCGATTGCTAGCCGTCAGACCGCCGAGATAGTGAACGCTTTGCACTATGGGAACGTACCGATCTACTGCTGGTCAGACTCGACGACTGTCTTAGCGTGGCTACAGAGAGATAGCCGATTTGGAATCGCGTTCAGGAAATACGGCAACTATCAGCGTCTTGGCAGTGGCAGTATGTGCCCGGTACGGAAAATCCAGCTGACTTTCCGTCGCGCGGATGTCAGGCTACATAGCTGCTCGAATCGCGTTGGTGGGAGGGGCCGCCTTGGTTACGCGAGTCCTCGAAAACTTGGCCTAATGCAATAGACACGACAAACGAAGAGGAGGTAAACAGTGAATTGAAGAAATCAGCTCAAATATCGATGTTATGTGGAGAAGTTGATTTCAGTATCATAAACAAATTTTCGTCGTACGTGAAGTTAATAAAATTTTATACGATAATGCTTAGATTCAAGAATTTTCTCATAAGTAAAAAAGCGGTACAAGACAAATATATATCGCCCAGAGAAATACGTAGTGTAGAATGTAAATTATTAACTTGCATACAAAAAACAATGTTTTTACCCAAAAAAGATCCGAAGCTAAAAGTTTTGCAAACTTTTGTACACACTGATGGTCTATTATGATTGAAGACAAAAATTAGCGCACGAAATGATAAATTTTCCTTTTTATATCCAGTTCTATTAGACAATAATCACAAAATTGTAGAGCTAATTATATTAGAAGAACATGAAAGTATGAACCACGCAGGTGTACAGACTGTGATGTGTCGATTAAGAGAGAGATTTTGGATTCTAGCCATGCGAAAGACAGTGAGAAAGGTAATTGCGACTTGCATTATTTGTAAACGTTTTTCGGTAAAGCCAATGCAAGCAGATCCACCTCCTTTGCCACTCAATCGCGTAAGAGATTGTGCTGTTTTTGAAGTAATCGGAGTCGATTTAGCAGGACCTGTATTCCTTCGTGGGCAGCAAAAGGGCTGGATCTGTCTCTTCACATGTGCCGTATACCGTGCGGTACATCTAGAATTAGTTACGTCTCTATCGACAATGACGTTTTTGATGGCGTTGCGTCGCTTCATCAATCGTCGTGGACGTCCGGTCGATATTTATTGTGATAACGGAACGAACTTTGTTGGAGCGGATTCTGCGTTATCAAATCTTAATTGGAAAGTCATAGAGACGTATAGCTCAGCACAGAGAATAACGTGGCACTTTAATCCACCCTCGGCACCATGGTGGGGAGGCTGGTGGGAAAAATTAGTTGGAATGGTTAAAGTCATCTTGCGCAAAGTGCTTGGAAAGAGTTGTCTCACATATGAAGAAATGTGTACAGTTCTCTGCGACTGCGAAAATACAATAAATTCGCGACCCTTGACCTATGTTTCCAAAGACGCGAACGATTTGATACCATTAACTCCATCAATGTTTCTGCGCGAAAACAAAGGCTTCGAAAATCCTGACTTAGATATTATCAATAAAGTGAATTTGACTGCTAGCTATAGAAAAAAGCAAGAAATAATAGAACACTTGCGCCAACGTTTTCGCACGGAATATTTGAGTCAGCTGATACTAAAAAGCAATAGTGTAAAAGAGTCTCGCTCAATAAAAGTCGGCGAGGTTGTTCTGATCGGCGATGACAACAAAGAACGTATTGATTGGCCTTTAGCAAAAATTGAGAAATTGATTCAAGGTCGCGACGGCGTAGCTAGAGTAGCAGTATTGAAAACCAAAGACGGAATTTTAAAGCGTCCATTGCAGCGTATATACCCTTTGGAAATTGGCTGCGAGGACAGAAAAGAAATAGAGTTAATGCGTGGTAAAGAGCAATCAATGAACGACAAAATAGCTGCGGAGGAAAATAAGTTTGAACCTAGTCCAAATGTAGTAAAAACCAGGAGTGGACGTGTGGTTAAGAAACCTAATTATTATCAGTAAGTTTTATTCAGTATAACACGTATTTATGTATTATCTAGCGTTTATCTTGTAAGGCTCATTTTTGTATGCGTTCATCCGTTATAAACGATTTTTGGTGTCATTGAGTTAAGGACTCAAGGTGGGAGGATGTTTGGAATGATCTGGAATGAGCCGATGTATTTTTTCTGCGAATCAGCGGCGTGAGCGGCGCAAGCGTCGAGTGCGAGAGAGCGCGCTGAGCGCCTCAGTATGGAGAGACACGTGATATGAGTAACAGACGCGGGAGGTTGTTCCAAGTTTACGGAGCTAATTAAATCTGTATTTGATCGCACAGAGAGTCTCTTCATTTACCCTACTATTCCCCGTTCCTTATACTTTTAAAAGGTATGATTCCGTTAGATCTCATTAGGTAATTTGAGTTAGAGTTTTTATTAAATTTCTTGAATATTATATTACAATTCAGTAAAACTAAAAGTGCTTTTTACTTTGAATACTATTACTGTGAAGTATTATAAAATTCGTGGTTCTCAAAATTTCCAAACTTATCCAGGAAAACTATTACAACCATTAATCGTATTAGAAGGAGTCATACTTCTTTGAATAGTTCGTTATTCAAGTCCAAATTGTTAATACTGATTTATGTAGTTGTATGAAGAATAATGATAACATCAATTGTTTATTCTGGTATTGCGAACTTTCCTCTGAACAAAGGAAAACATTACTCAAAAGTTTGCGGAAATGTGCTAAAGCAAAAACTTATTCTACAGTCTCTCTTTTCGCCTCTATGGACTAAGAGGACATATATGATCTTTCAGATTTTATATTAGAAATTTATTTATCTACAAATTTGATTTTCAGTGATACTGTTTACAATTGATAACTTTTCGAGTATGTTTATAATTTAATATATATATCTAGCGTTTAACTCTTTTAAACTGTTTATGTCAATGTTCTATACCATATTTGATTTATCCCACCATTGTTGGTGCTATTGTACAGATGCTTTGGCCATATATTTCTAAAAAGTTCCACCCATAAAAATCAACTATTACTACTACTTATGTTTCGAAACATGGTTGAAATGTACCAAACATTAGAATGAATACAGAGGGTATAAAATTTATTTTAAAATAAAATGTACTATGTACATTGTTGTCACGTAACAATCTTCCAGTTTGGTAAATACCTGGTATGTTTTTATTTGAAAACTAATACCAGTGGAAAATATTTATTTTTGGTACAAAATATTCCAGTTATGTACCATGAACCTGCCAAAAATCGTGTTTTCGGTACCATTCAGTAATGTTATAGACTATCTTGTTAGGAATGTTCCTCAACATTTTTGCCACTTAAGTGAACATTGGCAGAGAGTACATTTCTGTCATATTACAAATTGGCAGATGAATCTTTTATAATTATTTTATTAAAAAAAAAATTAATATGAAAATTGTGCTTACCTGTTACGTCTACAAACAAACCTAATAAGTATACAATAAAAAAAGTGGAAGTGACTTGTTGATGCTTCAACATGAAAGTTATACTTCATGTAACTAATAAGATAAACATGTTACTAATTCTTTCTTTACTTTAAAGTAATAGGTATGTTGTATGAGAACAATATCAATGACCATTTTTTATACTATCAATAAAAAAAGTAAAATTACTTTCCACCCAACTATGTATTTATAAGAATAGACTTATTACTGTATTGAGGTCATGCTATAAAAATCAAGATTTCTTATCTTATTTTAATTTTAACTATACAACCTAAAAATATTTATAAAACTATTGTCGGCAAAGCATACTGACATAAAATAAATTTTATGTATATATATTAATGGTATAAGGGATGGTCTCCATCTGACTTGGATTATTAATGAATATAATAATAAATAAATGTTCATGCAGCGTTCAAACATAAGATTGGTAAAATAGTATATATTTATTTTTTAATGGTTACGATAAAAAATATTAAGAAACTAATTTATATATTTGATGTCTTTAAAGTTTAGTTTTCTTGGGTTTTAAATTAAAATTACTTTCATAGAAACTTCAATATAACATTACTTGTACTTAATATTGTTATTCTACTTTAACAACTCTAAGCTATTAATAAATAACAGACCATTTCATCAGCTAAAAAAAATATCAAAATATTTCAATAACTATTCTCAATATCTCCAAAAATGAAGAAAAATGAGATAAAAAATTATTCAAAATGATCAATATTGCCCATTACATTTTAGTAAAATTATAATTTCTATCAAATCTAAATTTTATAGATTTTCTATTCTCTGTATGGTTCTATTCTATCAAACAAAAGTTACTCTCATAATTGATAGCAAGATATTAATTTTCATAAAATCAATCATAGTTATATATTGAATTCATAAAATTTGCTAAAACTTTGAGTTGATAATTGACATTAATCAACAAAAAATTATATAGATAAGTATAAAATAACTGCAATATTTATTTAATAAATTACTCAACTATATTTCAGTAGTGGTTGAAATATATGACTAAAATTAAAAATAATAGCTAATTGATAACATTTATACAATTCTAAACTTTTAATATTTAGTCCATAGAAATATCTATAAATATTTAAAGCCTATTTGAAAGACAAGAAAAAAATTAATATTGTATTAAAATATAATATATAAAATGAAACTAACTTTAAAATGGAAATGCTGATCCGAAAATAATTTGTTGTTTATTATTATATTATATTTTTACTAGTCTTATGATCACTATCCCCCAATAAAATATAATTTTACAATTGTAATGGAATTAAAATAGGAAATAACTTTGACGCCTGAATCTCAAAGATATTATATAATTACTTAAATTAATTTATGCTGATACATTTTGCGGAATAATAGATATAAATAATTACGAAAAAATTTGTAAGGCAAAATACGAGTTTCTCGAGAAAACTATCAGAAATTAGGTGTTCACAGAATATCTCTGACACATCAAAGTAATTCTAACACTATCGGACATAACACGACCAGTATACACTGCGCAGCCATTCGTGCACCGATTTATAGGGACTTTGAAGAGGCGAATATTTTTCATCTTGAAAATCTCTTCAGTTACATTAGACCTGATGAGGCTGGAAGACAAATCAGCGAAACGTCGAAAATAAATTGAGTTGAGATAGTTTTTGTTTTGTAACGAGATTCGCTCGTTATTGTCCTTCGTCACCTTCACGTGTATCAGTAGTGTCACGTCGATACGAAAGAAAAAGTACGTGACGAATTATAAGTTATGATTTCAAACCAGGTATCGATAATTTAGTTTTCTATTGTACCAACCCTCCCGGGAAGATTTGTAAATCTATCTAGCGAGATAGATTAGTCTAAGCACGTTCCCACAATACTTCCGCGAATATTACTCACCGCATATTAAATTGGCAAAATCACAGGAAGGGGCACATCAGCCCACGGTATAAAAAGGCTGGATTGGAGTTCGCAACAGCAGTTACTCAGTATATAGAATACAGTACGCAATACACAATTTACGACTCAGTAGTTTCGCAAAGTTGTTTTTTTTAAGTCTAACTATCCGGCCACTTAGAACCGGGATTATTAAGTATCATAATTATCTTTAAACAATAAATCTAAACTCAAGCGCAAACACCTGAGACTGTCTATTAAAAACCTCTTTTGAAACCCAATCCTAATAAGGTAAGGAACTATTTTATCTACTTAAAACGCCCTACATATAATAAAGGCGCTATCCCTTTAACCAACCTTTGCTTAAATCCTGACTAAGATCCAACCTTTACCAACGCGACATTACTTGAATATATTATTACGTCTGGCTGTAACATCATTTCGCCTAGACATAACAATTGGGGGCCCCTCATTCCTTGGTAATTAGGATCTTATCGCAAAATTACAATGGTCGAAACACCGTACGAACGAAAACTAATCACACTCAAAATACTAACAAAAAAAATTAGCGAAATAGAACCGAATTTTACAACAAACAGGGAACCTACGTTTACTGAATGTCTCACATATCTGCATCAAAGATTTCCACCCACCGAAACAAAGCAAATTACCCGAGTCGAGGAGTTACAAAGATTAAAATATAATTTACAAGACTACATTGATACAAACCCATTAGACTTTCTATGTAAAGATGACTTAATATTTGACATCCTCATTGAAATGACTAGTAAAAATTTAAATCCAGCATTCCTCCTTAACGCTATTACAGATATAAATTTTGAAAAATTAAAATTAGATAAAACTGAAATTCCATTACTCGAGCTCATCGAAAATCAAACGGGTTACGAGACAGCAATTGAAAGTTCAGACACGTACAACGCGCCTATTACAAACGTATTTATGACTAACACACCGTCCGCTTCCAAATCACCAGAAATGACTCATAATAAATCGGAAAAAGTTGATTCCACTCCAACTCGACATTTTACCCCTACAAACAAAGCTAATTTTGCAAGCAGCCCATTTACTATGTATTATACGCCAGGGACTTTCAGAACGGGACTAATGAATTCCACACAAAACATAGTATCGCCAATAAAAAATTTTAGCCTGAAAGACGCTGTTAACTTCGTACCTAAGTTCGACGGATTTAACATACCCTTACACTTATTTATCGACGGTTGCCGAGAGGCACGCAGCATAGTCCCGACAATAAATGAAAATGATCTCACCAAGTTAATTAAAATTAAACTAAGCGGTGAAGCACTTAAAAGCGTGCAAGGAAAAACGTTTGATAATGTTGAACAAATGATTAAATTTTTGGACCTACTGTTCGGATCAGCAAAAACTTGTAATCAATTAACAGGCGAATTAGCAACGTTAAAACAAAAACGTGGTGAGAATGTAGTCACATTTTCTAATAGAGTGAAAACAGTGGCTGACGAACTTTTTGAAGCAGCAGTAAGGGAAAATCGAAACTATGCTGGATTTAAAAACCAACTTGAAAAAGACAAAGTAAAATTCTTCATCCGCGGTTTATACTGGGTCATCAAAGCACGTATGGGGGAAGCCGAAAATTTAGAATTAGCCACTACGAAAGCAATAGAAATTGAACGAGAATTCAACGTACAGGAACCTGAGGAAATAACCGAAACAGTAAAAGCGCTAATCCAACCTAAAATAGAGCCAGTTCGATTAATGAAAGCTGAAGATAGTAGCATCTGCCAAATTTGCAATAGACCAAAACACACAGCTAAAGACTGTTGGTATCGGATACCGCAGAATCAAAATCAAACTCGACCAACTACGCAACAGCAACGGCAGCAGCCCAAACAGCAGCCGTGGGCGGAGCCTCGCGCGGCAGCTAACAATAACACTAATCCCCGCTCCAGCCATCAGCCACTTTGGGCCGCCCAAAATCAAGTAAAAACAAGCGCCCCAACTAATTTAAATTCGCAAGAAAAGTTACAACAAACTAATTCCTCGATTTGCAATTACTGTAAAGAAACTGGACACTGGAAGAGTGATTGTGAAAAACGAAAACTCAGAAATCAAAAATTACAACAGGCGGAAAAAGACAAGGGTTCCCAGACACTCGGCGCTACCCGGGAGCCCCTGTAAATACAGCGCCTCAAACGTCGCACGCACAAAAAATCATCCTTTTACATTTTAACAGTCAGTCACCAACAATTCAACTCGAAATAAAAACAAGTAAACAAAAATTTAGCTTCATCGTAGACACCGGGGCAGCAGTCTCTCTACTTAAAATCTCAAGCAAACCAAACGGTGTTCACGTAGATATTTTTGACAGATATGAACTACGGGGGATCTCGCAAGAAAGTATCTCGACATTAGGAAAAGTGTCATTAACCTTTCATAACTTTGTACTAGAATTTCACTTAGTACCGGAAAATTTTCCTATATTAGAAGACGGTGTAATAGGAAGCGAGTCATTAAAAAAATACAGAGCGTATATTGATTACGCCAAGAATCTCTTAAAAATTAATGACTTGTTTTTCCCAATTATCACCGAAAGCAAGTCCTGTTACATTGGAGCTATTCCCGTAACAAAAAAAATTAACCAGGCACCCAGCAAAATACCTCTCGCAAACGAAGGACAGGCACAACCTGGCAATAACTCCTTGCATTCGGTCGACGACCCTACTGGAAAACTACTGGACCTAGCAGTCGAAACTCAGAGGACGAATGCACCTGTATACAAAACCCATGTTAAAAAAAATGGTCACGAGGCCATAAAACAAGGTGACATACTGACTCCTAAAGAGTATATACCTCAGCTGTCTGAAAACAAAATCCGAAAAGCACAAAAAAAATCAGATTCCGACAAACTGTACAACCTATCTGTTAATTACCTTTCCGAGAACTCAGAAAAAATTAACTCTGTACCTGTAACTTCTGGCATGCGCATGCAAACTCTGAAAAACGAATCCGATTTACTCTACGCTTTAAACAAAGCATCAGAAATGATTAAAAAATCAGAAAAATCAGAATCAGATTACCCGTCAATACAAGAATTAACTAACAGCATTATTAGTTGTTTAAATAATAAAGAATCTGAAATTAATAGCGATCGCTTATACCTGCTCGAAATACTAAAAAGGTACCTCGATCCAATTATTAAATCACAAAGTAACTTACAAAGGCCAAATATAGTTAATAACGCATTAAATGCATTATTAACGGCCCGCTCCATTATTAGGGGAAAAGTACCTAGAGCACATTGCACAGCACTGCTTGTTAACCCAAAAACTAATAATCGCCACGAAAGAGTCAAACAGTTACTTCAGTTGATTAAATTGGACCATATCAAACAAGATCAACGAACAAAAATTGAAGAAATCGTCGAAAATTACAGCGACAGATTTTTTGTTAAGGGCGACGAGCTCGGGGCCACGAGTATTATCGAGCACGAGATCTATACTACCTCCGAAGTACCTATCAGACTACGACAGTTTAGGCACCCCCCGCAGATCAGTAAATTTATAAATGAACAAATGCAGGAATTGCTAGAAAGAGGTATTATTGAAAAATCAACTAGCGCATATTGCGCACCAGTTTTTTGCGTGCCCAAAAAGAATACGGAAGATGGCGAACCGCAACCGCCGCGCATCGTGTTTGACTATCGCGCGCTAAATAAAATTATTCCAGATTATAATTTCCCAGTCCCTCTACCTGTCGACTTATTTGAACGAATGGCCGGTGCGCAACTATTTTCGTCATTTGATATGTATTCATCATATCATCAGATAAGTATTAAAAAGGAACACAGGCATAAAACGGCATTCCAATGCGAGTCAGGCCTGTATCAGTTTTGTCGCTCCCCCTTTGGACTTAAAACTAGCGCACCAGTCTTTCTGTCACTAATAAATGTACTAGTATCAGATTTAGAAAATGTAGTAGCATTTTTCGATGATATTTGCGTATATTCTAAAACATTCGACGAACACTGCGAGAGCATCATCGAGTTAATGAAACGCCTTCGTGAAACTAATCTGGTCCTCCATCCGAAGAAATGCAAAATTCTACGCCCAGAAATCGAGTACCTCGGTCATGTAATCTCGAAAGACGGACTACGCCCGTGCAACGACAAACTGCGCGCAGTAAAAGAATTCCCGGTCCCGCGCACGCCAAAGAATGTTAAACAATGGCTCGGCCTAGCAGGATACTATAGACGATTTATAGAAAATTTTGCTAAGATCGCCAAACCACTCACTATTCTATTAAAGAAACGCCAGCCGTTCGTTTGGGCGGAAGAGCAGCAAAAAGCTTTCGAGACGCTACGCGATAAATTATGCGAACCTCCGGTGCTCAGACACCCGGATTTCGACAGAACATTTTTTCTTACCACTGACGCATCAAAAATCGGAATCGCAGGGTCACTTTCCCAGTTTGACGACCAAGAGCGAGAACACGCTGTAGCATACATTTCACGTACCCTCACACCTGCTGAAAGTAATTACCCCGCTATCCGGCTCGAACTATTAGCAATAGTATGGAGTATTTC